CTGTTTGTGGCTTCCTACCACAGCTGCACATCAACTACACAAAGCAGAAGCCAGGCATGCTTTGGCAACAGAAATGAAATTATAATATGAGGGCTGAGAGAGAAGTGACTTGTTTTTTATTGTTCTGGTAAGAAATTAGTAATCAAATGTACAAAAGAAAACAATTGCTTGCTGTTTCAAGGAATTATACAAGAATTTATACAAGAAAGAAGTGTTTGTTACCAGGAGAACAGGGTCAAGTTCACTAACTGTAGATTCATGATTAGCAATAGGCTTAATCTAGGAACATTTTAAAGTTGTATCCAGGAACTGTTCATCCAGTTTAGCATTGCCCACGTATCTCTTTCTCTACCATCACCACCCCAAATGACAGAGAGAAAAGGAACTGTGCCAAAACAGAAGTGGGAGTGGTAACACTTTAGTTCTCATGAAGTCTAGAGAAACAGTGAGAAGTTGAGATGTACTTAAGTGCAGTCTGATTTTCCCCACTTGTATTTCTCTAGGTGTTTGATTCAGGGTTTAATTAACTGCATGCACATAGGTATTTGGTACCATTTTGAATGTCCTTTGGTCTCTTGCTTGATCTACAGACTTCCAGATGCTGCCCCAGAAGGTCATGGGTTCCTTATAGGTTCTATGGCATACCTGCAAGCTCTTGTGTGAATGTCTTAGAGGAATGCAGTGACAGTTTGTGTCCAAAAGGCACAGATTTTAGATGAGCACTAAAAGGTCTGCCACTGGATCTAAAGCCACTCCTGTCCCAGTGCCTCCACAATGTCCAGTATCACTCAGGCATGTTTCACTTTGCAGTTTTAGCAGTCAGGGAGCGTTCAAACCAGTTGCAGGACACATCTGCAGTCTACTATTTTCCTGCAGCTGTGCTTCAAAAGGGTCACATTTGTAGTTAATACATACCTTCATATCTGCAGGAGGTTTTATTCAATTCAGCGTTCAGGTTAAGGTTGGACAATGCACAGTTCACCAGGGAGGGGCAGTTAATGAACCACAGTTCTGCAGCTCTTTAGCATATTTTGTCCAATTTCTCTTTGCAGGGACTTTACAGACTCTGAGTAGGAAGCCATATCTGCTAGTGAGAACCTAGCATGCCTTTCTGGAATGAAAGCAAAAAAGCATGCAGTGGAGGAAGCAGGTATCTAACAGATCTGTGCTCTACCCTTTGTGCGCTTGGTGTGTTGGGAGTTCATGCATGAAAGGAGTTCAATCAAAGACAAGAACTCTTGCCACACACCACCTCTGGGTGTTACCATACTGTAGGCATACCTATGGTTCCCTTTTCTGTCCTTGCCCTGTCCTACCTTGCTTGCAAAGTATCACAGTATCATAAGTAAATGATCCTTCATAAAACTATCCTTCAGTACCTGACTGATCACCAATGCACAGGAAATCCTACATTTCCTTTATTATAGATTTCAGGCCACAGACCTCGATTAAACACTCATGAGCTTCCACCAAAACCAACCATTTCCTTTTCCTTTCCCACACCAGATGACGTGCTCTTGCATTACATCACATTTTATGCAAGTGTCTTCAGAGGAAGAAAATGAAGTAAAAAAAAAGGCTAAAACAACAGATTTAGCTAACATCTCATTTTGATAAGGTAGTCATCTGGCAGGACTGTGGGATCAGCAAGAAGGGGGTATTTACTGTTTCTTCTTTAAGCAGCATAAAAGATGTCACTTCTCCTGGTTTATGTAACTGTCTTAATGAAAAGAGATTATTTAACTGTCAAATACAGTGGATTTTGTAAGGACTAGAAGACCCTCCTCAGTGATGTAACACCTTCCTAAACTAACCCAGTGTGGCCTGTGGTGACAATTATATACTTTCTGACAAAATTTATTACAAGAAGCAGAATTTTGGCTCCCAACACACACGGGCAATCTCATGAGATAGGGGTTTGGTTTGGCTGGGTTTTTTCATTTCTGAGAGGGCTGGTGGGTAGCAAGATAAAGAGAATGAGAGATTATTTCACAGAAAAGCACACTCAAGCTGCAACCTTGAAATTATAAATTCTATCTCCAGCTTTTCTATCAACTCACATCAATGTTTGGAGCCCCTTATGAAGCAAATTTTCATATCTGTAGGAGTTAGTCTCTTCTTTAGCAGCTATATTACAGATAACTTCCATAGGTCCCTTGTGGTAAAGCTGCAAAGAACTCAGTCCAGAGGCAAATCTGGCAGTTTGCAGTTATGTCACAGAAACCAATCACTAGTTGAGGTAATTCTGTAAGTTACACTGATTCATCATAGCTGTGATACCTTCTATGGCTCAGACCACACAGAGAAATTTACAACTGCTGCTTCATCAAGGTGGAATATCTGCTCTTTATTTCAAATCACAGGGCTTTTACTTCCAGAATGAGATTGAGCCTTTGGAGAAAAAACAGTAAAGAACTGCCTATGGTGTGAGAAACAACCAGACCAGTGCTGCTTCATCCCAGAATGAATATCTCAAATCTGGATGTATGCCGTTTTCCTTTCACCACATAAATACCAGTAAAATAGTTCATTGAAATACATATTTTGTTGCCCTTTGTAGCTTGATTTATCAAGAAAAATATCCATTCTCATTTAATGGATATCTGGTGTGAATTTTGACACCATGGTGTAAGTATGATGAGCTCCAGTTCCCACCATTGCAGACTTGCTGTTGTGTTTCCTTCTTGCCTGCTACTGCTTAGGGGAGAGACCTGCCTTGTACTGAAGTGCTGAGCACACCAGGGTTCAGATCATGGTGATATCCCCCAGCAGTGGAAGCCACATTTCGCTGCCTTGCTACAAACACTGGACAGCTTGCAACTTTTTAAGTTGTCAGACACACACTGGCGGCATGCAGAATGGAGTAAAAGCCAATAGGCAAGGGCTTGGGAAGCTGTTATATCTGTTTTGATGTCTCACCACTACTTTTCAAGGTTTGAGGTTGCGTGTACTACATATTAGTCATTCTGATCCTTACAGGCAAGAAAATCCAAGGAAAAGTGCTTTTATATATATATAGTTTATTTTTCATTTCCTTGTAACCAGATAAAAAAGGATCTGTACAGCTGATACTAAAATAAATCCACTTTGGCTTTGCACAGTAGCTTTTGTTCACATAACATGTAATGGAAAAGCTAATCGACATTCTGTCATTTCTGTTTCAATAAACTTAACTCAGTGATGCCGCCCTCTAGAATCTGTGACAGCTGATCTATTTCCAAAATAAACCAAGGAACTAAATTTATTTGCAAACAAAGATTACCTCATTCTGGTAGTCATACTAAGCTTTTTCCCCCTCAACAACGGGTAAATGGGAAAATGTTAAAACTCCCTTCCAAACAACTAAAGATCAAAAAGGAGACAATATTTCACAGGAAACTGTATTTCATGGTGGAGAAAAATTAATCATAATTTATTTTTAAAACAGTTGAAACTACTTATCAGCTCTGAAGAAAAACAGTGTATTGGCAAGTAACACAGGAATTCAGCAGGTAAAACATAGTCATTATGAATGGTGTGATAATGTTTGAGGAATAAAAATTATATGAAAATAAAGAGTTTAAACTTTTATGTTGCCATTCATGAAAGCACATCAGAAAGTTAGCAGGTGCATGTTTTCATAAGTCTCCTGTAAAAAGAAAAGAATGCCAATCACCATTTCTTGGACAATACAGAAGAGAAGGCTCTACAGAGAACTGCCAGGGCACTGTGGGCTCCTGTACCAGGAGTGTTGGGGGCTCACTGGGTAGATGATGGCAGGGCCTGGCAGGCAGGGCAGCAGGGGAACACTGGGGCAGCCCCAGCCCTGGGCATCAGACACCTCACTGGGGATGGGGATGAGGCCAGGATGGAATGTGGTCCCATAGGTGGGCCCAGGTTGGCATGGCCATGGTCAGGCACAGTCTGTGACGTAGCAGGAGGTGTAGCTGATGTGGGGGTCAAATGGCAGAAGCTCAGCTTAAAGGCAACTCTCACAGGAACTTTTGCTATGTGGAGATATATCAGTGTTTAGCAGTACCGGGTTAGAGAGGAACCTAGGTATGCATTTCCAAAAAAGCAAGAGAGCAATGTGAAAATAAAGATTTTTGTTAGAAAATAGTTTTTTGTCTGCATGAAGTTTTAATTGTTTGACATAACCATAAAAGCTTTAGCTGCAGGATCACCATGTGCTCATAACAAAAATCAGGCACGTTCAGCGAGCCAGCAAATAATAGACACAGTCAATAGCATGGCTATTAACCATCTGTGCAGATCTTTTAGACTAGTAAAGTTGAACATGGAAATTTGACAGGTGGGGATACTACTCAGAAGCACATTTTATGTTGCATTAAATGTAAAATGCATTTAGAATTAAACCGAAGCATTTACTTACAGCCAAAATGCCCTATTTTTGCTTACAGGTGATCTCTGCTATCCTGAGTTTTATTCTGAAGGGAACATATACACGCTATTCAGTAAATAGAATAATTATATGTCTGTATTATTATTTAAGTAAATTCCACTTTCCACTGTCTCATATTGTTTTGAATGTAATACACTGGCAATTACTTTCTTTACTTCTTTATTAATATTTTAAAACTGTATCATCTTGTTTTGCTCAGGAATACAGGAAGCAGCAAAATGGAACAAACCCATCACTGAGCTGTTCCGTCACTGCATTTATGGTGAAGGCCAATGCATCATGGAACTTTCTGAGAAAAAAAAGAACAGGGTTGGTTTCTAAATATGCAGTAGCACAGTGCTTCCATTCTTTTAACATCCCCCGAGTAGTATGTTACCTGCATACATTATTCCTGTGCAACGTCTTCCTTACATAATGTTTATCTTGATAACAATTAAAAAAAAAACAAACAAACTGTTCTGTCCACTCCCTGAACCTTTTCCCACTGTTCAAACACCTTCCTCTGTTTTTTCTTTCTGGATATTCTACTAAGCTGTGTGTCTTCAGGTAAAAAAAAAAAAAACAAAAAAAACCGGAAAGCCCATACAGCAATACTTGCTTGAGTTTCCATTATTTTATTTGGAGGAAAAAATTGCATAGTGCTGAACTGGCGTAGTGGGAAAAAGAATGTACCTGGAGTAGAACTGAGAGGAAAATAGAGGAGAGACAACTTCCATTCTCTCAGGGGCTGTGATTCTTCTGCCTTTTCCATTGCTTGCTGAAACTTCTATTCATTTCACTGCCCCACAGCCTTATTACCTCAGTGTTATTTTTATCTGGATCACTGCTCCTTATTTGTCTTGTTATAATGCCTAGGTACCTCAGCCAAGATCAAGACTGTACAAATATGTCCTGAATCTGCCAGTAAAATACTGCGGATTCTAATGGAAGAGGCAGGAATAAGAATAGAGAACGCAAACACTGTTTTAGTTTTACATAGAGAACAAGACAGAGGGAGAGACTAAGGGAGATGTGCCTGCAACTGGGAGCCTAGTGCCAGTTTGAATGTCCTGCTGTTCCCAAAAGAGAAGTTGAGTGCCACAGTCCTTGGGAGGCTGTTGGACACCTGGCTGGCAGTATGACTTGCTGCCTGTGTGTAGGTACCAGGTGACTATGTTCAATCCACTTGAGGTCATTTGCCCAAGGTTGTTCAAGGGGTGTGCAGCAAAGCTGTGCATGAACATAAATCCCATCAGCTCCAGCTCACTCTCTTAATCACAAATTACTTCTTCCTGTTTTCAGCTTCTCTCTTTTTCTTTCTCCCAACCAACCACCTACACTACTGCTGTTACGAAGCAGAATATCCTTTCCTGCCTTAAATCTTTTTTCTTTCTGTTTCCATCTTTGGTTTTGGCTCCTGTCCCCCTCTCTCGCTCAGCAGAAGGCTGAACGCTACCATGGTTGGAGGCTGTGTTATAGAATGTTCTCCACCCCTTCTGCTCTTTTGCCGGCATCTCCTCCCACCCCCACCCAGCATGCCCAACAACTCTCATGTACTCTGAAACACGGGGATCTATAGCTTTAGCTACTGTGCCAGTAGCTGTTGGTAGACATGCAAACAGGCGATGTGTTAAAAAACTCATGTCTGTGGAATACCCGCTCGCAAACAGCTCTCCAAATTAATTGCATGCATGTGAAAGAAAAATTCTTCTAATTCATATTAGATGTCTTCCCTTTTAAGTCGTGTTACACATTTATTTTGGGCAAGATTCAGTAGAAAGAATTGACCTTCTTAACACACTCTATTATTCTTTATAGTCAAGTCTATCTTTCCGTCACTAGGGAGCCATTCCATTTTTGTGTTGACATTTTTATCTTCTCTTTATATCTTTTCCTAAAGCCATGTTATTTACTGAATTTTTTGCTGACAAACAAAAGGATGAGAAAGAAAAATGGCATAACCCCCCCCCATACAGCAAATGGCAGGGGCATACTGTATTCCTCTGGTGCAGATGAGTAAGGTCTTAGCATTCACTTACTTCTTCACTACTTTAGTTCCACTGTCTTTTCCTTCTGCTGCTGCCTTAGTTCTCTTCTACCTGGTATTTTGTACTCATCTGGGTGTTTTGACATTTCCTGGTTTTTCATTGGTTGTGATTGCCCCTTCTTTTCTTATAATTTTCTTCTATTTGATTAATTCTGTCTCCAATTCTGTTTAGTCTTTCTGGCAACACCTATTTGCTAAGAAAAAAAATTATACGTGTCTGTAGCTTGTAAAAATGTCAATGTCAATGTGACATTTTTTGGTTTACATTACCAAATCTGGATGAATCCATGTTACTTACCTACTCAACAACCACTTTGTGAACAAAAGTATTTTTAGGGTTGGAGCATCTTGTCCTAATGCCAAGCTAAATGGCCAGTGCTAATGCAGAGCCACCAGAAGGAAGATCTTCATGAAGATGGGCATTAGTCATTGATGAGAAAGGGTATAATGATATCTCTTATTCCACTATTGCATATCTGAATATGCACTTTTTTAGAGCAAAGATGTACGCAGCGGTGGTGTTCTTTGTTCTTAGTGTATGTATCACATGGCCTCCATAATAGATGCTGACCACAGGAACACCAAAAGGGTGAAACTTTAACTGCAACTTGCCCCAATAACTTTGAACATCACTCTCCTGCAACAGGGTGCTGCTGCTTTCCCACAAGTAGCATAATGCCCAAACTGGTCTCCAGCCAGGCTGAGAGGTCAGACCATGACCTTGTACGCTCAGCAAGCTTCTCCAGAGAGATGGATACATGATGAGCACTGAGGAGTCCTGTTTCGGTTCTGTATTCTTCTTTGGTGTCCTGATAAAATGTCCATACCAAGAAAACCACTACTACCAACACGTGGCTGGTGAAGGCAGCAGCTGAGCTCACCCAGGTCCGCCCTCATCTTGAGACTATGTATGAAGCAGCCAGTGAAGAAGATGGGTGATTTCATCACGCTCTGGATCTAAATGTGGCTATGGGAGAGCATATGGCTTCACAATTGTTTCTTGAGGTTTTTTTAATTCTCTTTCCCCGCGCAGACAGTTGCTGTCATTTTCACGAGATGAAATGTGCGCTGGTGTTATACTCGATGCTGAAATTCACACATGCTTCCCTTTAGCAGCCCCAGCCAAACTTTAACGAATTTCTAACCACTGAATGCTTGCTTTTTTTTAGAAGGTATTTGATCATGATGCTTTTAGCAGATTTAATTTTGAAAATAAGGTGATGTAATGAGTTTGGGGAAAAAAAGCAGTAAAAAATGCCAGCCACAAAAGCCTAGGACTACAGTTTCACACCCAAAGAACAACTGTTGAGTACTTGCTCTGCTGAGCTTTCACAAGTGCAACCTTCCGCAGCAAAACCCCCCGATAAAGTGAAAAGATCCCTTAAGGGCCCGGGTCCCCTGGCACTGGGGCGCCAGGCCGAGGAGCCCTGTGGGCACTGGGGTGCCGTGACCGCCATCGGGATCGGCGTCTGTGCACGGGCAGGGCGAGAGAAACCCTCTGCCACTGCCCTCGGCTGGGGCCAGACCCTGGGCCGAGGCGGGGGGCGCGGAGGAAGGACAGCGCCCAGTGCGAGGCAGGAGGGGGTAGCCGTGTGAGGAGCCGGTGCTGAGGGAGAGGGTACAGGGAGCTGCAGATGCCCCTCTGGCTGCCAGGGGAGGGAAGGGGCTGGCGGGGCCGGGAGGGCGCTGGGGTGGCGGCTTCCCGGAGACCCAGAGCAGGGCGGAAGAGGCGCCTCGGCGCTGCGGGACCGCAGCGGTTGCAGTGCCCGACTCTCGCCTCCCCTCATCTCCCCTCCCGCCGCAGCTCTCTCCGGGTAGCGGTCCCTCGCTCGGGGGCGACCGTTGGCGGCTGGACCCCGCCGGCCCTGCCCCTCTTCCTACCCGCTCCGCCCCGCCGCCTCCAGACACACGGGCGGGCCCGGCCTCCCTCCTCCTCCCCGCACACACCCCCCTGCAGCGCCGCACTCACGATCACTCACACGCACACGCCGCCGGGGCGGCTCTGGCTGTCCGCCGCCTCCCTTCGTCGCGCTCCGCCAGCCGGATCACCTTCCCGGCCGCTGGCAGCGTGAAGGGCACCCCAGCCGCTCTCTTTCCATACATCCCCACCCCGCCCCGCCGCCATCCGTCGCTTTCGGCCGTCCCCGCCCCGGGTGAGCGGGTGCCCCGGGCCATGAGCTGCGCCGGGGGGAGTGTCGTCCTCCCTCCCGCGGAGCCGCAGCGAGACCCCAGCGCCCCGCTGGAGCTGCCGGCCGGAGCAGGGGAGGGGAGCGGGGACACCCCAGAGGAGGGAGAAAGCGGTGGCCCCAGCACCGGCGAAGGCCGGAGGGGCGGCTCGGAGGCGGGGGCCGCCGGCGGCGACAAGCCCGAGACCCGCTCGGTGTGCAGCAGCGAGAGCGGCAGCGGCAGCCACCCCGGCGGGGCCGGCCCTATCTGCAAGATCTGCTTCCAGGGCCCCGAGCAGGTGAGGAGAGCCGGGCAGGCGGGCGGGCGCGGAGCGGACGGACCGACCCCTCTCACCGATGCCCGCTACTCCCGGAGGCAGCGGGTAGCGATCAGCACCGCGGACAGGGCTCGGCGCCTCCAGCCCGGTCCCCGCCCCGCTGCCCGAGAGGCCGAGAGCCGCTGCTTGCCCCGGGGGAGAGCCCCCTGCAGACATGCCCTGCTGGAGCAGCCCTCTGCTGTGTCGGCGGCCGAACGGACAGCCAGCCTCAGCTGTGACAAACGCTTGGGGCAATTCTGAGTCGGCGCAGAGCTTTGGGAGAATTCAGAGATTGCGATGGATGGCTTGCACACTGTGCATCATCGTGCCTTCGCGCTCGCTGGATCTCCCCTCAGGGACTTTGAACAGTACGAATCTCTCAGGTTTCTGTTAGACTTTAAAATGAGAGTGTTAGCTTACAGATAATGTTGAGAAGACCTCCAAGTATCTTCTTCATTACAGACAATACACAATATCAGCAATGGTTCTATAACTAGCGCTTTATAGTTTGTCTTGTAGTTGAGCTAAGCAAAATCTTCTCAAGGAAAGAAGAGAATAGCTGATCTGTATAATCTAGAAATAGGTGCACTGCTGGGGGAAGTGTTCAGTTACATCATTTGGGGCTGTCTGGCTGTACAAGCACAGAGCCATGCTCCAAGAGCAGGGCTCTCTGTGATGTCACCCATTTCTTTCCTTGTGATGACTGCAAATAACTGTTGGAGAAATGCATAACCACTTTGGGTACTATCTGAGGTATCTGAAAGGGCTAATGCTTCTATTGCTTGATGCACAGTAATCTTTCACTTCACCTATGCATAGACAGTTATCTGGCTTTGTCTCATTAGGAGTACCTGGATAGTTTTAAGACAATTTAATTTGTGACCATTTTTATGGCCAAAAATACATGGTTTTTCACGTATTGAAATTGAGACCAGTTCATTGCTACAGACCACTAAAGAGTTTGGTAGGGAATATACCTGTATAGAAAAGATTCCTTTAAAATTAATGTTTCTGTGTTGCCTTTTCAGGGTGAACTGTTAAATCCTTGCCGCTGTGATGGGTCAGTACGATACACACATCAGCTTTGCCTGTTAAAGTGGATAAGTGAAAGAGGATCATGGACCTGTGAACTCTGCTGTTACAGATACCATGTTATAGCAATTAAAATGAAAAAGCCTTGCCAGGTAATTCATTTTTTTGTTTGTTTGCATTTTTTGTTTGTTTGCTTGGTTGTTTTTTCTTTTAAAAATGTGGTTTTCCAGTTATTTTTAAGACCAAAATGATTCTTATGTTTATTTCAAGGTTTTTGGAAAATGCACCAACACCCACTTGAAGCTAATTGTTAAGATTATTTTAGTATGTTAAGACATATTAAAACATGCAGTCATTTGATTGTTATGTTCTTCTAGCATTTGGCTTGCCACAGAAGTGGTCTTCAGAGGTTGTGAAATTCTGTAATTAGATAAGTCATACTGAGACATAACAGAATAACCTGAATCTCCCTGATTCACTTTCTAAACTTCAAACATGTCTAAAGGTTCTAAAGATTTGCTAAAGATTCAGTCAGAGGTTGATTTCATTCATTCATTCCAGCCTGGGGTCCAGAGGAGAGAGGCAAGGGAAACTGTTGCCTGCGCATTTATATACCGTAAAAAAGTAAATGGAGTTGACTTTTCAGTCTTGGCATGATCCACAATAGCAGAATGTTCTTTAAGTTTTGTTTGTTTTTCAGAAGCTGAAATGTGCAGTAACATTTTCCACATCTCCCTTTTAACACTATCACAATATGCAGCTGGAAGTTAGAATATTATAGTGGTAGCATGTTTGGGGAGAGGGGAGGGGAAACTCAAAGCTTCAGCAGACCTGTTAGAGAAGCCTTAATACCACTTTGCATATCAGAATTTTTTAGAGGCTTAAAATCTGATCCCAGAAATTGTGTTTCATAACATCTGAGGAACACGTTAGTAAGATAATTGTATCTGGTTTTAGTTTTGATTCTGTGAGCTTAGAGATGATGGAGCTCTCGAAGGCAAGAGCACTTGGGTCATTTTTCTGTGCCCGAGTTTGATTGGAGTTTTATAGAAAAGACATGCTTGGATGGTAATGGCAGTTGTGTGAACGTGATAAGCATTCCTTGGGTGTAGAGGATGTCTGTAGTATTTGCTTACAGTTCTTCAGATTAGGTACAAGTACTTTTGAAGACAGTTGTGACTTGAAGGTTTTTCTTTATGAATCCACAAAGCAAACCTTTTAATGAGCTTTCCTAGATAGGACCTTTATGATGTAAAAAAAGTAATGGATTTGTGGAACACTCCGGAAAATAAAGGTGGTAGATTCTGCTTCTACATAGACTTTATCTGGTGGTTTAGCATGGGATTCTGTTTGATCCTTTTGGCTTTTTTTTTTAACCCTTTAAAAATCTTTGTTTCCTGTGTATCCATAGCAATCTCATCCTTTTCCTAGCAGAGGTTATATTAGCAACAGTTTGCAATGGTAGTTTCTGAAAATAGTCGTTTGACTGCAAAGATATGACACAGTTGCCTGCAAAGAGGCATCTAATACTATCTGAGATGTCCCAAGGTAGCCGAAATACCCATACAGGACAGCAGATATGGCACAACTTATGAGAGACTCTGGAACAGCTGGAGGCTAAGTGGGATATTAAAAGACATCCGAAATGGCACTAGACACCTATCTGTGGAGAACAGAATCAAGCCCGAGTTTGAATTCAATTTCTGTGAAAAACAGAAGCAAAGAAGAAAGTGTCAGTAAGTGACAGAGTAGATGACAATGTTCAGCCAAGCTATGACCGAAGCAGAAAGAAACCAAAAAGGCAAAAGTTAAATGCCATTCTCTTCATGAGTTATGGCACTATTTTGTTTTTTTTTTTTCTGAGAGTGGATACACAGGATAGGATGGGACTAGATTCATGTTTCTTCTTTGATAGCTTGAAAAATACTTGATTTATTCTTAACTCTTTCATTTTTAATGTAAATTATTCAAGTCTGTCCTTTCTTATTCTGACAAAATATCATAAAAAAAGATTTAAAGGAGTTGCATACTCAAATAATAAGTTTGACATAAATTTCTCTGGTCAACTCC